CCCCAAAACCCCAAAACCCCAAAACCCCAAAACCCCTCAAATATATTAAATTATAGAAAATAGTGAGTTGCGCAATTTTTAACCTCCAATGCATTTAACTTCTTCCTCTTCAACAAGAACATCAACTATTATATTGATATTTTTGACTGTATGTTTAAACAACTCGCTAGTTGTGTTATCATCATAACTTAGGGATGCCTCTGGGGTTGTTTCTTCTGTAAAAATCTTTTTAAAACCAATAGAAAGTAAAAATTCAATCGCTTTGTCATGTCTTCCAACAGTTTGATGAAACTTTTTGTTATCTAACTTTATTCTTCGATATTTCTTCTCATCCGGATGATCATTGATATTCATCAAAATCACCTTAAGTTTCTTAACTCAAGTCCTAAAATCAGAATCTGTCAGTTCAGATTCGAGGCTACCAAGGATCTCGGAAAGTCGGTGCTTATTTAAGATCAAATTCATCGATTTCCTTCTCTTTAGCCTTGGTCTCTTCTGGAGTGAGATCTCTCTGCTTTTTGCATTTCTTTCAGCAAGTATTTTCAATATTATTAACAACCATACAGTAAGTACATCTCCAATTGTATACAATCTTGGGCTGGTATTTCTTAGTTTTCTTCTTGAGACCACTGAAGGTTTTGCCTGGGCCTGAACTCTTCTTTCCCAGATTCTGATCGTCATCAAAAGTACTATTAACCATGACTCCTTTACCTTGAAAGACTTGTTTACTATTGATAGTAGGCTTTTTAACAGCTTTCTTGGTCTGCTTTGGTTTCAAAGTTGACCTTGAAGGAGCTCCAGGTTGCTTTTTCCCTAAGCAGATGTTCTCATGAGTACCAATACGATAAGCAGCGAATTTCCTGTTTCAACCTTTGCATGCAAGAAGCCCTTGGGAATCAGGAATACCATATTTCCCACTTTCAATAGAAGAAATTGTGTGAACCTTTCCTTTACTGCTTTTGTGATGTGTTGGAACTGTTTTACATATATCTTCGTGCCTGTGCAAATCTGGTTTGAAGATCTAAAATTACATTTCCATTGAGAATTTACTGAAATGTTTGCTAAAAATTACCTTCTGTGCTCAATAACATCATTTCTCATGTGTAGCATCATACTTCTTCTGTCATTCCTTGACGTGGAACTTCATGGAAGCTGGGAAGAACTTTTGATGGCATATCTTGCAAGTTATTGCTCTATCCATTTCTCAAAATTTTGAACTATTTTCTATTCTCAGCTTAAAATTGGGGTTTTGGGGTTTTGGGGTTTTGGGGTTTTGGGG